ATTCAAATACATAATCTAATTTTAATTTCCTTTAATATTTAGTCATATAACTAATACTTAGTATACTTATTTTAGCATGATTTAGTACTTTTAAATTATGATCATTTTCATTATGACTTGTTAATTTGCAATATTTGTTTTACGGGATTTCATTATTATTATTTTTGTTGGATTTTAGTGTCATTAATCATATCATATTGTGTTATATTTTTAAGAAACATCTTAGATAGTTGTATTTTGGTAGGACTAAAGAAATATTTGAAGTACAAGTAAATTATATGTTTGTATGAATATTTTACTGGAAAAACCCGAAAAACCCGAAAAAACCCGAGGTTGAAAAACCCGAGTTTTATTGGTTTGATTTGGTTTATAAATTTAAAAATCCGACACAAATGGTTTGGTTTGCTATTTGAAAAACCCGAACCAACCCGGCCATGTACACCCCTACTATACATATTTCAGACTTTTATGTATAAAGTTGTTGAGTTTTTTTCTAAGTTATTATATTGCATGATCATCTTTTAAAAGCTTCCGCACTAGTCAGTATTTAGTTTTAAAGTATGTCAAGCCAAGGGTTCGCTCGGATCAACAATGATTTTGAGTACCAGCCATGTCCACGATGTAGACTCAGATTGTGACAATATTGCGAATCTACCCCCTCCTTCCACCCCAACACCTTATCCTCATCCACCTTATAGTGTTTTTCTAGATTATATATAAATATTTTTGAGTTGAATGTCTAGATGGCCACTTAATTTATAATAATTGACCACTAAACTCATTCAACTTTGCTTAATTAGCTTTCATGGTCATTTTAATAAAAAAAAAGATATATATTTTGGTAACTATTTAATGACATGACAAATGTAATTTTTTAGAAAAAAAATATTTTAAAAAATTAAAATCAATATGCAATTTTATTGAGGACCCAACTCACCCTAAATTTATTCCAATTCGTGACCTGACCTTAAAAAAATGAGTTGATTATATAAGAAATACCTTTAATAACGACTAACTAAAATAATATGATGGTTCTTTAATTTCTAACATTTTAAATATTAGAGATTCCCTTAATAATATTTAACCATCATATTTTTGTTGTTAAACGTTATTAAGAGCATTTTTATATAGTCAATTCATTTTAAGCGGGGAAGGGTCCAAAATAAATCCAAATATTGATCTTAATTTTTGAAATATTTTTTCCTACAAATTTATATTTTCAATTAAATGACTCTGAAAGCTAACTAGACAAAGTTGGATGACTTTTAAAAAGTAAAACAAAGTAGAGTGACTTTTATGATCAGTTACTATAAGTTAACGGACCATTCAAACATTCAATTCAATACTTTTGGGATTATCTTTTTTGCTTACATACTAAACACAAAAAATAAATAAAAAATCACTTATTTTCCATAAATATATTATCCAAGACAACATGTTGTGTGACAAACATTTTTCTTCCTACCAATTAAACACACCCTTTTTAGTTTGACATGTTTCCTTAAGAGCTAATCATTATATCATGTTTAATAATTGGTCCCCCATTTAACAAAGACCAATATCTTTAACAATTTAATGTGAATAGGTGTTTTTCACCTTTTGTAGTTGGTGGACGTTAATAATGTTGGTAGTTGATGTATTTTTCTAATTTCACAACAAAAGTCTTGTTAGCTAGGAAGAAAAAAAAGCACTGCTAAAGATCACAAAGAAGGAACATAGGAGTAATCTTGGGTGTTTAAAATAAGTTCAATACATTAGGACATTGCACACCTAACTTGCAAAGTGCAAAAATTAATTTCCTAAAAAGTGAAATTGCCAATTGGAAAAAAAACAATTTGTTGTAAATGACTCAAACAGTAGCTGGATATTTTTTTATATTAAATTCTTTTGAGTGGTGGAGGAGAGTATTCATTATTATAGAAAAAGGGCCAAGTATAAAGTTAGGTGGAATGTAATAACTTTGTGTAAAACACAACTCATGTATGTGTCTCACATTTATTGTACTCCTTTATTATTGAAAAAATTTAAAGAAAAACATTGAATGTCACAGTTGATCATCTTGCCTAACTCTTCAACATATTATCCAAGTAAATGTTATTGGAATTGGTAATGGTTTGGGATAATTGATTAATGATACCACAACAAGCTTGTGTGGATCTAATTAAGGCATTTATATGTTTGTGTATCACTAGGGGAGAATAGACACCTCTTTTTAGGCTGCTAATTAAATTTAAATCAGGATTTGAAAATTATTTAGAGCAATTAAATTTGTGTAAAAACAAAATTGATCAAAGTCTGGTTTAGTTGTTGATTCTTGACAACGACAAAAATAAGTCAAGTATTCCACCTGAAAAATACTTCCTTCAATCATGGAAAAGGTATCATTAAAGCATTTGTGGTTAGTACACTCCAGCTTTAGCCAGTTCAGATTTGTCAATGTAAAAAGCTGTTTTACCCTAAATGATTAAGCTTTGTCTGAAGAAAAAGAAAGAAGATTGACATGTACTCAAAAGATACTTTTCATGAAAAATGTTATGGGAATGGAAGTGGAAGAGGTTATTTGTTACAGTCCGTTGCAAAGTATGAGACTTGAGTCCCTTATCGATATTGATGTGGAATTTATATAGTTTTGGGTTCTCTGATCTCAATAGCTAGTTTTGAGATGTAATTCTCCCTAAATTGTATCAATGGTATCCGATATATAATGGTTGATGACACAATGCATTCACATTTACAGATTTATGTAAAAAACAAAGTTAATTTGGACACAATTCGTAGGAAATGAAGGTTCTCTTTTCCTATGAATTCAAATCAATTATCATTTGTGCATTCACGCACCTCAGAAATTCATTCATCTTCTTGGGCATTTTCCCAAACATTAAAACATGAAAAAGAATCATTGGCCTATCAAATTATCCATCAAGCTGTGGAAAACATTAACAGCTGAAAGAGAAACAAGTGGCAGATTGACGAATCTGACAGTCATATGCTGCTCTTTCTCTATTATCTGTTGATTGGATCATTAGATGTTCAGTTCTTAATTTTACAATATCTATATCTATACCATCACCCAACAAGTAGCATCTTCATTCTCAGAGCAATAAGTACATCAATAAACATATATTACATACACAATAACAAGGGTCATACATGCAAGCTCCTGCAATGAAAATGGAAGCAGACCTCAGGCACCTTTCTGTGGCAATGTTTCAAAAGCGGACACAGTATTCTCAAATTTTATCCGATGCAGCGGTGCACCACTTTGTTTGATGGCACAAGCCTGTTTATCTTCCAATGGACAGCGTGCTTTCAACATTGAAAACACATGGTTGTTTAGCCTCCTTGCTTTCTTCATAGCTTCCAGCAAACCTTCAATACCCTGAAGATAGAAAGTGATGTTGGATGTCAAATATATGATATTCTACTTATCAAACTGAGAGTAAACAATAGCGATAAAAGAGAACTGAAGAGGATGTGAAATGTCCATTAGTTGTCGAAGTAAGCAATATGAATTAGTTGGGACTAGGATCTGGTACTTGTTGGTAGTCTTTTTAGTTTGGTTAGAGATTTACATATGTGAGGTCTAAAGTACTAATTTTAGAAACCCCCAAATTCATCTTAAAAGACAGATTATTCAGCATTGGAATGAATCAGGCAAATAGAGTGGAATACACATAGAAGATTCATATGCCTAGATCCCGCCGCTGAGATGTCCAGCGGATTCCTGGGCCTTGACGAATGGCCGGCCACCTTTTACGTTAGAAGAGCAAAAGGCCCAGGGCATAGCAGGATGAACCAATGTGAATGAGTGTAAGCTTCGTTGCCCGAACACGATTGGTGCTGACCACACTAGGTGCTACCGTGGTAGCAAGAGAGGCCAGGCGGTGACAATTGAGAGGTTGTCACTGAGCATTCCTAGTCACACGGGAAAAGAGGTCAAATGGCAAGGCAAGGCCATACGCCCGTTTGGCTTGGCCACCTTTTACGTTCGAAGAGCAGAAGGCCCAGGGGCCACTACTAGTTCAGGATTAAAGCATTGTTGTTTATAGATCTTATATAAAACTTTCAGGAGCATAATTGCACCCCTTTAACAAACACATGATATCTTTCTTAAGATTTTTGATTCTGCTTAATCTCATTTGCTAGGTTTACCAACCTTCCTATAGTGATTGCTTAAAATATATCCAGATCACAGATAAGGTCCTGGAACTGTTGAGTTATATAGTGGTTTCATATGAGTTGTGTAGGACTTCCATAAGGGTTTATAAAGACCTTGGCTATTATACCAATTCCTCTTAGGCTTAGAGTTGTATGCTCTGATATTTTCACAAGATATCAAAGCACACAGATTCTAGGTTCAACTGTATTTACTCTTTTTAGACGCTCATGACTTGTACCACCATTTCTTGGGGGGTGTTTATTTTATTTCCGCACGTTTGACTTTATAACTCTGCTTTGGTTAAATATCTGCTTTCAAAGCTTAATACTGTCTTTTCATAACTGCAAATGGACTTTGCATGATAATGGGTTCGCCTAACAAGGGGTTAGGTATCATCATGGCTTAGGCAAAATGGATCGTGACAAAAGCATGATGCAGAAAACCCATTTAAATGTCTTTCAGCATATCACCAAAAAGCCCAACTCCCAGTTCCCAATGACAGATAGCTGCGGAAAGGCATAAAATAGAAAACACAATATGTGCTCCCGGTTCACCTTCGCAATTCACTCAGTTTTGGGGTCATTAACATTATGTAGGAGAGATGGCTATACGAAATAAGAAGTTGGGTACCTATACTGAATCAGCCATTAATTAAATATACTATATATATATATATATAGAGAGAGAGAGAGAGAGAGAGAGAGAGATAGAAAGAAAGCAGTGAGTGGAATGATTGTGCTCCAAGTAAGTTGTCACAACAAAAAAAAAAATTGACACTATTTCCAATGATTTTAGTTAAATTAAATATAAACCATCATGAAGAGGAGAACATGCAGTAGAGTTTTGATTCTTACAGATGCAGTTCTACATGTTCAAAATAACTCAAAACATTATTTAATTGGTTAATTTGCAAATCATACCTGGAGGAAATTAGGATTCTTCTGTGTTGGCGATATTGCTACAGACTCCACCTCAGCAACATTGAGGACTTGATGGGAAAAATCAAACAATTCAAAATGCAATTGTTGCCCAAGCAGGTAGATTATTGTACATCCACCCCAGGCAACTGAATCGCCCAACATTTCGTAAGTGTTGGATTGTAGCTGAACAGATTCCTCCAGGTATTCCTATGGTTGACAACAAAATCAGATCAACAGTTTACACCAAAGATAATTCCATTATCTCTGACTATCAGATTACTAAACAAGTTCATATAACATAAGAACACAATTCTTCTGACACTCTACTCTAACACTAAACACTTGACTCTCTATTAGACGAAAGTAGGAAAAAGGTCAAACAAAAGGGACAGAGGTATTCTTTTCTCAATCAGAAAAAGCTACAGGTAATAAGTTGTAATAAGTTGCAGGGATTCAACATAAACCATGACAGTCCAACTGATAGTTCTTGCTGATGTATTAATCAGGTAAATTTGTAACCAGAGACCAACATGACGTGTGCACAACAATTTGCTATATTGAGATATCATCAGTGTTCAAAACCAATTAAAATAGGCAATTATAAGTGCAATGAAATTTTATAAAATAAATGAAGCAAATGAACTATTGTATCTTACGATTTGAAGTCCACTGAAAATCCGGTAGAAGTCCTTTGAAGTAGTAATATCAATAAAACCCGTCTTTGGGGCTGCACTCCATTTACTGCAGTATTTATCTAATGCAGCACTTGTAAAAGCAAGGGCATATTCCAACACACTTCCAGTATTAATATTGGCTTTGTACAACAAATCTGAAACAAAATGGAAAGTGGAAATGCTTTAAATGATACAAGAATAAAGCTGAAGAATTTGAGAAAGAAGAGAAGGCTTCTTTATATTTTTACATCCCATGAGAAGGGGTAGTTATACGATAAAACCTGTAACTAATTACGGGAAAGACAATATCTGTTATAATCATGCTAGTCAATTAACACGATCAGCTCTCCCCTTAATCACTCAGGTCGTTTGGTTGTTGATTAGAGATGAGTTACTAATGTATTAAAACTAGCATAACTTTTATACATTGTTTGGTTACAAAAATGGAAAAAATATTCTCCACATAGAATTTAGCATAAGTTATACAACTTTTGTTTGGTGTTTTCTATTTTCCACATAAAATACTGCCTTGCTAATACAATGCCTGGCTCATGCTTTTCTTTTACACATAACTAATACATGTATAAGTTATGAGAAAATTATGTATTATTTTATGCGAGGTACAAGATGAAAGTAAAGAGCACTCAATATAGGCTAGGCTCGTTGGGCCGGCCCAGCTCAACCCGTGATTTAATATGGTTGGATTGTGATTTCTGGATCCAATTTAAGAGCACATTTTCTTAGCCCGGCCAAAGTAATCCCAGTAGCTCGCGAGGCTTGAGCGAGGTGGACTAGGCCGTCCCATTGGATAAATAAAGAATAAATAATTGAGAAAAAGCCAGGTTTTCAAAATAACAAGAGGAGTCCAAACTCAAAGTCTATTTAAACCATCATTTATTGATATTACAAAGTCCAAAACCCAAGTATTAAAATTAAAATACAAACTTAAGTTTATAAAATATGTAAATAACAAAAACACAAAATCCTAAATTTTCGAATGGTATCAAGTCGAAAGTTATTTAATTTCGCAAAAACTTTATGTCCGACAAGATCATTTTCTTGTATGGTGTACCCGAAGTATTTGTAAAGGATCAGTGATTTTCAGATTGAAGTCGTACAACCAAATCTTTACTTGAAAAAACAAACTTAATATGAGTAAGTATAATTAGAATTATTTTGCTGGTGAGTTTGAGAGTTGGTTAGAAGTAGTAACACCATGTAATATTGTCTTGTAAATATTTATATAGCATTTCAAAATTGGAATTTAAATTATAAAAATATATATTTAAAAAAAAAGGATTGGCCGACAGCCCACATAGTGATGGGTTGGGCTGGTTAACATAAACTGATAAATAATGAAGCTAGTTAACTAAAATAGAAAAAACAATAATAGTGCGGACTTGTGGTAATGCCTTGTGCTTGTATTGATCCATATATCTAAGGTATGTTAACATTGTAAAGTATCAAAAGAATACTATAAGACCATCTCCAACCCAACACCAAATCCTAAATTTGGTGTTTTGAGCTCCAACCCACACCAATTTTTACACCAAATTTGGTGTGTGAATAGTGTTACACCAAATTTGGTGTAACACTATTCACACACCAAATTTGGTGTAAAAATTGGTGTGGGTTGGAGCTCAAAACACCAAATTTAGGATTTGGTGTTGGGTTGGAGATGGTCTTATAGTATTCTTTTGATACTTTACAATGTTAACATACCTTAGATATATGGATCAATACAAGCACAAGGCATTACCACAAGTCCGCACTATTATTGTTTTTTCTATTTTAGTTAACTAGCTTCATTATTTATCAGTTTATGTTAACCAGCCCAACCCATCACTATGTGGGCTGTCGGCCAATCCTTTTTTTTTAAATATATATTTTTATAATTTAAATTCCAATTTTGAAATGCTATATAAATATTTACAAGACAATATTACATGGTGTTACTACTTCTAACCAACTCTCAAACTCACCAGCAAAATAATTCTAATTATACTTACTCATATTAAGTTTGTTTTTTCAAGTAAAGATTTGGTTGTACGACTTCAATCTGCATCAAAAAAAAAATTATGTAATGTTTATTTAATTGTATTTCATTAACGATTTCACTTTTATTTGTATTATCCATTATTATGTATAATATTTGCTAGCAATTTATATTATTTAAAAAATTATGAAGTTGTGAATTTTAGAAAAGTTGCGCCTTTCATGAATAGTTGTGACTTTTACGAAAAGTTGTGAATTTTAGAAAAGTTGCAACTTTTATGAATAGTTGTGACTTTTACGAAAAGTTGTAACTTTTATGAAAAGTTGTGACTTTTATGAAGAATTGTGGCTTTTATGAAGAGTTGTGACTATTATGAAAGTTTGTGACATTTCTGAAAGGTTATAACTTTTCCAAAGAGTTGTGACCTTTTCGATAAGACACAATAAACATTTGTTCACACTACCCTTTGTTGTATATAATAGAGGGATTTCCTGCCACTATTATTTGTAGGTTTTTTCCACTATAGGGTAGTCGAATTCAAATACATGAATTAAGCTTCTTATGAAGTTTGTTTCATTCCTCAAAGTTTTTTTCCTCCTATTTCATGAAGCTTAATATTTACTATAAATCATAGTGATTCATGTAACTATAACAATTTCTTTTTGCTATTTTGGTGACTTTTTTAAAACTATGTTAAAAATTTCAGCAAGGATGATTTAAAATTGATCTTCTCTTTGGTCCCTTTCTACAAGTTTCTTCATATAAACAAAGAAAAGTGATTTTAATTGCAACGCGATATTACTACTCTTGCACCTCTCAGTCCAAAACTCAAAACGCTGCTGAAATGGTTGAATTCATTACATTTTGTTCTTTAATAAACAAAACTTTTATTTTTTCCACTATTATTTGCAGTTTTTTTTTGCTATTGGGGAGTCGAATTCAAATACATTATTCAAGCTTCTTATGAAGTGTGTTTCATTCCTCAAAGTTTTCTTCCTCCTATTTCATGAAACTTAATCTTTTACTGTAAGTCATAGTGATTCATGTATATTGCAATTTCTTTTTGCTATTTTGGTGACTTTTTTTAACTCTATTAAAAATTCCTGTGAGGATGATTGAAAATTTATCTTCTCTTTTGTCCCTTTCTAAAGGTTTCTTCATATACTTTTTGGGAAAATTGCTTGTGGGTTGTGCTATATTTGATAGCACACAACAACAAATCTGTGATAACTAATATGGAACCAAAGAAGAAGTTTGTTAAAAGAACCAAACAGATCGCTCTCTTGGTTGCCAGAGTTAGTATATTATTTTGATTGTTTTTTCTTAGGTACAAACATTTTGTATGTCATTGCACTCTTCCTAGAGTATTAGTATAGAGACAATTAGTCCACTACTTTTATCGCAAGTTAACTAATTTGTCATATTTCTCTGTCTCTTCTTTTTGGGCATAATAAGAGATTTAAAATTTCTTGAAACTAACAAATTTCCAAAATACACTATAACAAAAATAATTTTTACCGGCAATAAATATGTACATTAACAAAGAGTGCTAGAGCCTTTACCGACATTAATTAATTGTCATTACATTGAATGTTGCTATAGACTTTAGGGACATATATAGAGAGTACCAATCGCCTCTGAAAATTCATATTTAGAGACAATTAAGCTATTAATTGCCGTTAAAGATAATTTTTGTTGTAGTGATAACTCTTTCTTTTGATTAAGTTTTTTGTTTTTTTATAATGAAGTAATAACTCTTTCTTTTAGCTTCTTTCAATTTTAATTTGTCAAATGTAAACTTGGATACGGCTCGACAGACTATCTTTTTGAAATATATGTTGAGCAACATACCTTTTTCTCTTGATTGTTAGGAAAGTAAGGTCATCTTTATTATTATTTGTGGATATTTGTGAGTTCAAGTGCTTACAAAACTATGATGTAAGATTTTAATATGTTATGTGTCAAAATTTTGGTTTAGAATATCCAGTTGTTAACCGTTCCATTCAGATGTCACCTACTGCTTGGTTGATAATTGCATTAATTCTTTGTAACTGCATACTATAACCATAACAATAGCTATGGTTCAATTCCAAATAAGTTGGGGCCGGTGATATGAAACCTAAGCAATAGTAATGACTATTCTGAGATAAAAAATTAGTTATTATGTTCTTGACAATATAGTGTATGTATTGAAAATACGAATGTTACCGAATGATCATATGTAAGCTTAATAAAATAGTTCAATCCCGTGCAAAACACGGATAATTTACCTAGTAATATAATAATGAAGAAAGAAAAATATTCTTTTTTGGTGTAAAATTTGATGCAGTGGGTTGGAGTTGATTACACCAAAAATAGTGATGACCAAATTTGGTGTTCGGGTTGGAGATGCCTTAAGTGCCTGGGAAAAGTGGGATTCGACTCATGTGGATAAAATGAACCTGCTAGACTGCTGAGCTGAGCGCGGTAATTGGCAACTTGCAAACTAGTTTGGATCAAATAGTTGATCAAAGGATTGAAGTTTAGACAAATCAATCAGATTGTGTGGATGATCAAGTTGCTTGCATATGGCATCAACTTAAGAGATATTCTCACAAAACTTGAAATCAAATGATCAACTTGAGGATATTTTCACCAAATACCTTACTGGTCCCCAAATTAGTTGCATTTATAAGAAGCTTGATACGTATGACTTGTATGCACCATCTTAAAGGACAATGTTAAGTATATTGTGTATATATGGTAGAATCATGTAGATGTGGTGTCAATATGATAGAATTGAACCTATAGTTTATATTAATTAGAAGCAATAAAGGAGATATTATTTCTTTGTTGTGAGAAATATAGGAAAATAATATTATTGAATTGTTGTTGTATCTACATTATTACATTGAGACCCTATTTATAGACCCTAGAATACAATCATTTACCAAGTAGGATACTATTTAGTATTCCTATTTCTATTACTATTCCTACTCTAATAGAATTGTATAAATCTATTCCTATTCTAATAGGATTGTATAAACCTATTCCTATTCTAATAGGATTGTATAAACCTATTCCTATTCTAATAGGATTGTATAAACCTATTCCTATTCTAATAGGATTGTATAAACCTATTCCTATTCTAATAGGATTGTATAAACCTATTCCTATTCTAATAGGATTGTATAAACCTATTCCTATTCTAATAACCGATGAGGGGCTTAGTGAGATATCTGCAAGTTGATCACTCGACTTCACAAAATTGACAATCAATCTCAATGTGCTTGGTCTTCTCATGAAATACTGAATTTGATGCATAATGCCGATAAATTACGGAGTGATAAAATTACAGTGTTGAAACTTCCCAAACCAAGCTTGCAAAGACTGTTTCAGACCATAGAGTGACTTACGTAATCAACATACAAGGCTACTAAACTCCCCCTGAGCAACAAA